TATTGCTCAAATAGTGCTTTACTGCGAAGGATCGTGCTCATATACGTCTCATAACCGCAGTTCACACATATGTTTCATATGTTTGTTGTTGTTTGATTTATCATCTACGGGTTTATGTCGAATTAATTTGATGGCCTGCTCCCAGTTGGCTTGTTAGCTCAATTGGTAGAGCGCTGCACTAGTATCGCAGAGGTCAGTGGTTCGAATCCCGTACAGGCCTGAAATTTTTTTCAGGTCTGATTTTCACTATTGCTCAAATAGTGCTTTACTGCGAAGGATCGTGCTCATATACGTCTCATAACCGCAGTTCACACATATGTTTCATATGTTTGTTGTTGTTTGATTTATCATCTACGGGTTTATGTCGAATTAATTTGATGGCCTGCTCCCAGTTGGCTTGTTAGCTCAATTGGTAGAGCGCTGCACTAGTATCGCAGAGGTCAGTGGTTCGAATCCCGTACAGGCCTGAAATTTTTTTCAGGTCTGATTTTCACTATTGCTCAAATAGTGCTTTACTGCGAAGGATCGTGCTCATATACGTCTCATAACCGCAGTTCACACATATGTTTCATATGTTTGTTGTTGTTTGATTTATCATCTACGGGTTTATGTCGAATTAATTTGATGGCCTGCTCCCAGTTGGCTTGTTAGCTCAATTGGTAGAGCGCTGCACTAGTATCGCAGAGGTCAGTGGTTCGAATCCCGTACAGGCCTGAAATTTTTTTCAGGTCTGATTTTCACTATTGCTCAAATAGTGCTTTACTGCGAAGGATCGTGCTCATATACGTCTCATAACCGCAGTTCACACATATGTTTCATATGTTTGTTGTTGTTTGATTTATCATCTACGGGTTTATGTCGAATTAATTTGATGGCCTGCTCCCAGTTGGCTTGTTAGCTCAATTGGTAGAGCGCTGCACTAGTATCGCAGAGGTCAGTGGTTCGAATCCCGTACAGGCCTGAAATTTTTTTCAGGTCTGATTTTCACTATTGCTCAAATAGTGCTTTACTGCGAAGGATCGTGCTCATATACGTCTCATAACCGCAGTTCACACATATGTTTCATATGTTTGTTGTTGTTTGATTTATCATCTACGGGTTTATGTCGAATTAATTTGATGGCCTGCTCCCAGTTGGCTTGTTAGCTCAATTGGTAGAGCGCTGCACTAGTATCGCAGAGGTCAGTGGTTCGAATCCCGTACAGGCCTGAAATTTTTTTCAGGTCTGATTTTCACTATTGCTCAAATAGTGCTTTACTGCGAAGGATCGTGCTCATATACGTCTCATAACCGCAGTTCACACATATGTTTCATATGTTTGTTGTTGTTTGATTTATCATCTACGGGTTTATGTCGAATTAATTTGATGGCCTGCTCCCAGTTGGCTTGTTAGCTCAATTGGTAGAGCGCTGCACTAGTATCGCAGAGGTCAGTGGTTCGAATCCCGTACAGGCCTGAAATTTTTTTCAGGTCTGATTTTCACTATTGCTCAAATAGTGCTTTACTGCGAAGGATCGTGCTCATATACGTCTCATAACCGCAGTTCACACATATGTTTCATATGTTTGTTGTTGTTTGATTTATCATCTACGGGTTTATGTCGAATTAATTTGATGGCCTGCTCCCAGTTGGCTTGTTAGCTCAATTGGTAGAGCGCTGCACTAGTATCGCAGAGGTCAGTGGTTCGAATCCCGTACAGGCCTGAAATTTTTTTCAGGTCTGATTTTCACTATTGCTCAAATAGTGCTTTACTGCGAAGGATCGTGCTCATATACGTCTCATAACCGCAGTTCACACATATGTTTCATATGTTTGTTGTTGTTTGATTTATCATCTACGGGTTTATGTCGAATTAATTTGATGGCCTGCTCCCAGTTGGCTTGTTAGCTCAATTGGTAGAGCGCTGCACTAGTATCGCAGAGGTCAGTGGTTCGAATCCCGTACAGGCCTGAAATTTTTTTCAGGTCTGATTTTCACTATTGCTCAAATAGTGCTTTACTGCGAAGGATCGTGCTCATATACGTCTCATAACCGCAGTTCACACATATGTTTCATATGTTTGTTGTTGTTTGATTTATCATCTACGGGTTTATGTCGAATTAATTTGATGGCCTGCTCCCAGTTGGCTTGTTAGCTCAATTGGTAGAGCGCTGCACTAGTATCGCAGAGGTCAGTGGTTCGAATCCCGTACAGGCCTGAAATTTTTTTCAGGTCTGATTTTCACTATTGCTCAAATAGTGCTTTACTGCGAAGGATCGTGCTCATATACGTCTCATAACCGCAGTTCACACATATGTTTCATATGTTTGTTGTTGTTTGATTTATCATCTACGGGTTTATGTCGAATTAATTTGATGGCCTGCTCCCAGTTGGCTTGTTAGCTCAATTGGTAGAGCGCTGCACTAGTATCGCAGAGGTCAGTGGTTCGAATCCCGTACAGGCCTGAAATTTTTTTCAGGTCTGATTTTCACTATTGCTCAAATAGTGCTTTACTGCGAAGGATCGTGCTCATATACGTCTCATAACCGCAGTTCACACATATGTTTCATATGTTTGTTGTAGTCTGCAGTTAGTTATATATATATATGTTCAATAGTTTCTACCATATTCTAGCTCATGATAAAGAGATGCCACATATTTTTTGTGAGGGCTGATCACACTGGTAATAATATCTTATTGCGATTTGTGAACTTCACACAGTTGTTTTACGATAATTTCGCGATACATACCATTGAAGTAAATCAGAATTTTTGCTTCGACTTAGATCGAGAGTAGTTCGAACTCTTACGTGTTCTACAGTGTATCCAGTTACAAGGTCTATTCACGGAGGGCCGGTCATCCTAATAACTTATCTAATCCATAGCCAGTTTTTAAGACTGAAAACTCTATCAAGCTACAAGTGCTAGTTACCAACTCGTCCTCAGCTGTATGAGTCATTCCTAGAAGAAAAAACTGTAGATACATTGACAATCATATGGAAAGATAAACTCGCCTTTTAATCTCTGTTAGACGCGTGATGCCAAATAGCAGCTCTTGCAAATGTGTACTACACACTTGAGAGACAATGAACTGGGAGTAAAATTCTTCATTTCGCATGACAACCAGCCAGTATCTAGAACAACATTTGATTTTAATTACTTATTTTTTATTTCCCTTGGTTGGTTATTCAATCTTCCTAGCTGATTTTTTACCATGCTCGAAAAGCAAATTAGTTCTGGTTTCTTTTTATTTTGAGCTGAAGCAAATTTCTCACTCCTCTTTCCAACAACAAAGATCCTCTGTGAATTTGAAATTGCTTTAATTAATTTTTTTTCAATATTTCCCTCCTAAGGAATTGTTGTTTACATGTACTTAACATGAAATTTAAAAAAAACTTGGCCTTAATAATACGCTTCTTAATCAATTTCGGGCATTACTAATAAGATCTGTCAAGTAATTACTTGGAAAAGAGCTTACCACGAATTCACTAATATAATGGCTACTTCAAAAAGTAAAAATAAAATCCCTACTAAACTCAAGGATTCAAACAGTTGCAACTTGAGCAATATTGTCGTGCATATATGTCGAAGGATTCCGTTTAATCCATATTTTCATTCTAGAAAAATGATGTCCGAGTGGGTCCAAATACAGGAACATTTTCTTGAAAAGTTGTTGAAATTACAACGTTTTGAGATCAACGGGAAGTTTGCAAAAGCAAAAATGACGCCACAGTGATATGTCAAAGCGAGAGTTAATATCCCCGTTGGAAGCAATAACTTCTGATAAGCATACCTACAAGGCTTCAAACTGTCTCTACCTGAAGAAAAATACTTTTGTGTCTTGGGAATAGATGAATAACCATTTTGTCACTGGAGCGGCGATTCAAAGCTGAGTCTTAGCTTCGGCGGTTGGACAGTCTCTGCGCTACAATTGGTCAGTTCTTAAAAAAGGAGAAGGTAAGTCGATGATGAACAACGTACTTAATGCATATAGTTCATGGTGTAAAATAAAGTTGTATTGTGAATTGCATCCTTTGTTACTGAAAGGAGAGCTTTGGGACACAAGTGCCTCAGTCATTAGCCAAACAGACCTAATTGGCTCTCAAACCTTCTTCTACTTGAAAATTTTAGAATCAAAAAATTTTAAATTTTATACTATTTGTACGTTTTGTTGCTATCTCCTAACCTGATAGGGATCTAGGGAAAAAGGAATCGGCAATTACATAAATTACAGTCTACCCTACGAGGGTCGTTTCTTTCCTTGGTTTTCATCCGCGGGTCAAGTGAAATTTATTTCTTTAGAAAATTGTGATCAGATTCCGTTACGGGAAAGTTGAACCCACTTAAATTTCTACATTCCCAACATGCAGCTTCGGAACTCATTTAGTAGCAGTGCCCAAGTAGTATATATCGAGGAGGTAGGGTTCGAATCTAGCCTGAACTTTGGCATGCTTCTTTTTATGGGTTACAGTTTGCTTGCAGCTGAATTCAGAAGATTTCGTATCTAATTCTGACCATTTGGAATCTCTTTTCTGTTACTTTAAGATAACAAACCAGAAGCAGGTTCATGCAAAATTTTAATAACTTAGAACCTTTTTCTTTTTCCAGTCGTTAAGATCGTTCTAGTTCCGAAATCGGTACAGGGCCCTTTTTTTTGTAGTCCTTTTTCGTGATCAGGGAGCGATTTAAAACTGGTAAATACACACACAGGGAAATTCCTCACTCGAGGTTAACAATATTTTATGACAAGCTTAAGACAAGAAAAAAAATTAGAGAAGTGTTACTTCACAGCAATGCAATTTTTTTCCCTTTTTTTTTCTCGAGTAGCCTCTTAATTTCATGTGCTCCATGTCTGTAGTAACAATTTCTCCACATTTCTCATTCCCTAACTCGTATTCAAGAGAGGCGCGTTATAAGGTTTCCTAACATCAAAGCCAGAGACGATAATCGTCTGATAGAACCTATTTTGATATTTGATTACCTGGCCTAAGCATATGGTCATAAAACGGAAGAAAAAATTGTGTTATCTTTCAAACACCAAACAACTTTTATTCGCTTTTCTCTTTAAAGTTTACATATTCTTAACCTGCTTTAATTAATTATTTAAGTGGAAGCCACCTTACTTTACCCTTTTCATTACCTAAGTTCAATAGATAGATCCCCAGCCTTAAATATAATTCTGCACTATCTATGGAACTTGTTCCGCCCAAGGGATCACTCTTATGACCTATTACTCATAGCTCCTTCACCCCAACCCCCGCCTCGGCCGGGGGAGGATGACGGAAACCTCTAGATATATGAGCCCCTCCTTTGAATTTTCGAACGTTGTCATAAATGATCAAAACAGTAGGCATTTCAGGGGTAAACTTTCCACTAAATGCGCATAATTAGCAGCATTTGAGGCAGCGCGTTCAGGCTTATCCGAGGCGAGCTTTTTTACCCTTTCAGGGCCGTGCGCATAGTCAGCGGTGTTAGTTATGGCGTGTGTCAGCTGATGAACTATGGTACTCATTTTGCTGTCTTTACCTCTGAACGTTTTTTTCTTTTTGTACGCTTTACAGAGGTACAAAGAGCAAGCCTCATAAAAAGTGTATGCAATGATTTGGTCTGAGCACTGATCCCCTTTAAAATCAAATGTTATATGCCATTTGCCCTGTAATTTTCCAACAGTTTCCTTCAAAAGGCCTTTTGCTTTCTCAGAGGCTGTTCCGAACCATTCTTTTGCCTCTTCTGGTTTATCCTTGAGATATTTGATGGCCAAATTCATGCATGCAATCGCTATTTTGAAAGCTTTTTTTGTACTATTTCTTAACCATTTGGACCCTCCCACGAAATCATCCGCCCCATTATCTGGGCAAGGAGAACTTCTCATGGATAATTGATTTGTTCGCTTGAGAGAGCGTGCTCTTTCGCCCAAGGTTCCCTTACTGAAACTTCCTTTGGAAATTTTGTAACTCACAGCAGGGGAGGACAGGTGTCCTACTTCAGCCTGAGTAACCCGGCCCTCTGATAAACTACCCGCTAAATATTCTAAATTAGTGTCCACTGCTATGGAGTACAGGCCAGCTTTGGTCATGTCGTACGCATCTGAAACATCGAACGTAGATGAAACAGTTTTTCCGGCTTTGATGAGTAAATACTGATCAGGGCCTGGAGCAGAGCGCCTCAAGTAAATACCATCGTATTGTAGCTTCTTGCCATTGGAAATGACTGTTAGGCAATCCGATTTCAGTCCATCCAGCGGTGTGTGCCATTTTAGGACTGAATAGTCTTGTTTGCCGTTGTTTGTCAAATGGAACTTGCATTCAATCTTGTCGGCTGTTTCATATTTCGGTGCACAAATGAGGTGGGAGGAGAAAATCCTGTGTAAAATTAAACTTCAATCATAAGTGATAGCTCTGGCTTTTTATGTTATCATTGCTCACATAAAATCAAAATACGAAAGACAACGTTAAGCTGACACTCAGCTTAGCGTAGTGGATTAAATACCATGCAGCTCATCAAAGCTGTATCCTTGCATATTACTTTTTTACGACAGAAGAAGCTCTTTCCTTACCTTTTGCCAAAGGTGTGAAGACGAACGCCTTTTGCATCATTCGTCAGACACCAAATCAAAAGAACCCATAGAAACTTCATCGCGAACTACAAAGAAAGAGATCTTTTCAATAATCGTAAGCCAACTTGTGAGTGATCTATTCTTTATGAAAAGAAGCTGGAAATGTAGAAAATATAGTGTAAACAGTTTTGAATTAGATCTTCAGAGGATTACAACGAATTGAACGAACACTTTTCGCGCTGCTATGCCGTATGCAATCTCACCTATAAATTCCTCGATAAGAGACCAACGCTGATTTTGCTTGTTTTTAACTTCTTTATAGGGATACTGTGTGTATCTTACTTCAAAAAAAAATAATAAACTTCACACCATCATTCGTCGCAACTCTTTTACAATTCAAAGGAATGCGGTAAACGATGAATTCTTCTCCCCACCAGCACCAAGGCTGGTATTTATCCTTTCCTATATCTCGGCGAGCGGCTTTTTTTAATTCAGATAATGATCTTGGCAGATTTTTAAGACTGCTCGATCCCTCAAGTAGCCAACCCTAATTACTCATCTGTTGCCATTTTTCTGAGGCATTAGCCCACGGCAATTTAAGCTACACATGTCCCCAACAACATTAAAATCAAACAAAAAAAAGATAATTTACCTGGCTGTGTGTTTCGCACGAGTTCGGTGGCGCAACCGATAATCCCAAAGATAAGTTACTTGGCTGTGGTTTAATTTGGCATGAGTTCAGTGGCGCAACTGATAATCCCAAAGTGAGAACATCATTTTTATTGAGGGATGCCGGACGAATGAGGAGCGGTGTCGTGACGCATTCTTCATTTCCCATAACAACCATGGTGTATCTGAGAAATTTACTGTCTGCGTGCGTGGTTATTTAAATATATTTTTCCTAATGGTTTTTTGCGAGATTAGAAAAAAGAAAGCCTATTTCATATCGGATACTTCTAGTTACCTCCTTCTTTTCTGCTTTTGAGGCAGTAAATATTGTTATCGACAAGGACCATGAAAAGACTCATGAAGGGGACAGAATTACCAGTTTGTGTGATTCGTGATCGTCGAGAATACGTGCCATCTTCTTAATGGACTCTTAAACGAAGAGGTCATTCAGTTGAAAAAGGCACTCTTTCTATCCATGACAACGGCGCTGTGTCTAAGGATGCCAATTTTCCAAAGAGTAACTTTAATCTTTTGCGGGGGAATCAAGCAATATCTTCTTATGTTTTCTTCACGAAACTTAAAAAACCAAACATTTTTTACATTGGTTTCCAAGAGGACATGCACTCTTGTTTGACTTTGGCGTCTATATTCCTAAACAGGTTTCAGATATTTTGTGGTATGTAAAGTGAATGTTAAAGTTTGATTGATACTAACAACACCGAGTGCTTTAAGTGACAATAGTGTAATCAAACGTTATTTTTTTTAGAGCTCATGCTATTAAAGGTTGCGTAAATAGTTTTCATTGAAGAATATCCTGTGCTACTTATTTTGAAATAGAACTGCGCTTAGTTTCTAAATATATGTTTTGCTTTCCTGTGTCAATTCAACTACTACAGAGATCTATTTCAAGAAATTCGCCGAGTTTGTGCGCTACGTCTTTTAAAATATGAAGTCAACTGAAAGAATATCTACCAAGTCCTTGAGAGACACTTTGAAAAAAAACCTGTACTCAGGGCATTTTTCATTTCGCCTAACAACGGCGACTCTGTGTCTAAGAAAAGGGATGCGGTTCATTATGCCAGAATAGATATTTTAAAGGCCTCAATAAACCAAGCCGAGTATTTTCGTTTAAAACTTCCTGTTTTTCAATTCCGAACATAATTTTTTAGTTATTCCTCCATTGTGCAGTTTTGCAATTTCCTGCACACGCCGGGTATGCAATGAATGTTTTCAGAGAACTGATATCAACAATAGCGAAGCCGGCTTTGAGGAACAATTTTGAAGTAATGAAAACTTTTAATCAAAGGTTCTGTCTTTAAAGTTGCATAGTTAGTTTCATCATTGAATGTTTCAAAACCCGATTATAAAAGAGAATTGTACCAAGTTTCAATTACCTGTTGCACTTCAAAGAGGCGTCTTTCGACGCCAGCGTCAACGTTAAAATTAAAAAATCACTAAAAAAAAAAATAGTGCAAGGGATACCTTTAACAGTTTTTCAGCCACGTGCTTGGGTTCCTAATGGTAACTCAGTAGAATGTGTTTTAGTTAATTTACATAGAGGAAAACGGTAGTTTAGCTATCCTCATTTCCCCTTGACACTTTGTACTTAAAATTTGTTATGTTATCCAATTTGTATTTAAAGCTCACCGTGATTCCTGAGTTTGTTTAACTCAAGTATACTTTTGAACCAGTCATTTGAACATTAGTGGCTTTTAATCATACTAGTGTGGGTAAATGTTTGGTTAAATTTTTTTGGTAATAATAAGGTTTTGACAAGAACGTCTTCGTTGCATTTTTAAATGTAGTGCTACTTTAAACGAAACATCGGAGGGGACATGTTCTACATATTGACGAAGTTCAAACTCAGTTACCCTTGTCTGGAGGCACACAAAAACACAATCCATTTGGACCATTCCGTCCATTTGGCGTTTCACCCGCTCTGTAACTAAAACTCTTTAATTCCAATCAGCCTTTTCTGCCTTCACCTCAATGACTACTCAACTTCCCTTAATGCTTTTTTATCAAACTTGAAAATCCCAATTTTCTTTTCCATTAACATTCGTAATCACTTTTTCCTTTATTTCCCAATCTCTCTAATTCCAAACTTGTTATACTTGAAACTTTGTGTTAGAAATTTCCCCTTCCGGTTATTGACAATTTTGGAATCAGTTTTTTGAACAACAATTTATAATCATACTGCTACCAATCCTCAGATTTGTTGTTTGTAAAATACCGTGAAAGCGCTCACAATGTTTGATCGGTTTTTAGAGTGAGCAAACAGCTCTCGCAATTGATGACTTCTTGCTGGAGTTTTATTCATTCCTGACAAAGATGCTTGTTATATAAACGTTTTCTTGGCAACGGCTTGTAATTAAGGGGAAATTTTAAGTGCTTTTATTTCAGTTTTCGTAACATCGATAATCTGTTCATTTAATTTTCATAATATGCTTATTGGCTTAGACAAAAATCCTGATGACTTCAAAGGTTTCACTCTGGTCAGCTATTCTGGTGGCATTAGCAGCACATTTGAATGCAGAAATCTACATGATGTACAGTAAGTGTAAACATAAATCAATATGAGGAAGCAAATGTACAACTCCCCTTTTAAAGGAGAGGTATGTTCTAGGAACCATATCATCTAAATTGTACTAAACTAAGATATCAAAAAGCCTTTTGATCGTTCAAAATCGCGTTATGTGTTTGTTGTGAAAGATCCTATCCTTAGCTGGCTCTAATGCGCGTGCGCCCAAGTGTTTTCTATGTTGGCGAAACCAATAGGTATTTTTTCTCACGCAAACCACCTAAAATGTTTCGTGTTAATTCAAAACCCTTTAATCTGTCATGTTTTCTTTCGTGGTTATACAAATTGGTATTCTAGTTAGCATCAAAATTTCAACTTTGTACTTTGCGTTAATTAACCGAGGATGACAGTAAAAGTGTGGAAACGTTACTTACAAATAAAACGTGTGGGCTCTGTTCTTAAAAAACTTGACGGTGAAAATCTACCAAAACCTGCCTTTTAAGATTCCAAAGAGTAACCCAACCGTTTGAAAACTGTCTTCCAATATTTTGAAAACTCAATCCATATTAATAATTATTTTTCTTTGTTAAGACTATTTTCTTCTTCCATCGAATGTTCTTCCTCTTACAAAACAACAGACAAGGTTATCTGCGACTTCAACCTGACAAACAACGGTGACAGCTCATATTCTGTGCTAAAATGGAATACACCGCTGAACGACTTAGCCCTGGACGGCCTGACTGTCAGCCGTGATGGGGAAAAGCTGAGTCCACAAGGCATCAGAATGAAGCGAGAAGATCCAGGCGCGAGTGCTTTCATAACCATTGCTGCTGGAGAAACTGTCTCTTCAAAGTTTGATCTTTCTTCTGAATACGACACCACTAAAACTGGAGAATACACTGTTGCAGTAGACCTGTATTTGGAGTATGTCGAGGGAAGCGTTGGAAGTTCGGAAGAAACTGAACTATTTTATCTTTATTCTCATGCTGTTAATTTCCAAGCAGCTTGAAGAAAGGGCATTTTAAAAAATAATGCACTTTCGTAGCCAAAGGGGAGGGAAAGATTCTTAACTGAGGGTTGATAAAAGGCTTAGTTCAAATAAACTTGCTGATATACACGCTTTCTGTGTTATTTTCATGTATCAGAGTAAATTGCTCACCATTTTACCTTGTACATGCAAATACAATGTAAGCCTCTTAGAAAAAGTACTTCAAACAAGAGGGTAGCAAAGGGGAGGGGGTAGGGTTCCTTAGGGACAAAAAGATAGGGTTCCTGGGAGAAAAATTCACGGGCAATGCATATTTCAGGAGGCAAATCACGCGAATCACGTCCGCCGTTCCGTAAGCTGATTCGAGGCCTGATTTGTTAAATCAAAAACAGAAAACTCTTCTAAAACCCATATTTGTTATGAGGGAGGGCATCATATGGTTTAAAGGGAGAACGGAGAGGGAGCAGTCGTCGCCAACTGAGTATAAAAGGGGGAATATACTACCAATGTAATGCCAGTAGGTCGGGGTCATGAGAATATTGCAGAACCTTTTGGAGTATAAAAGGGGGAATATACTACCAATGTAATGCCAGTAGGTCGGGGTCATGAGAATATTGCAGAACCTTTCGGAGGTATCGGTAAAGTTTATCATGACCCGACCAAAATCCTCCAATTTCCCCCCTTTCCCATCCAAGTGCGTTAAGTAACATTTTCCAAGCAACAGTGCGTCTGAATTGTCTCTATGTGAAGAAAAATGCTTTTGTCTGCCAGGTATAGATGAATAAAATAATTTGAATATATCAACAAAGTTGAAATGGTTAATTGGTCACCGTTACGATTATAAAAGCTGACGTTTCGAGCGTTAGCTCTTCGTCGGAGCGAAGGGCGCTAACGCTCGAAACATCAGCTTTTATAATCGTAACGGTGGGCAATTTACCATTTCAACTTTGTTGATATATTCAAATTATTTCGTTACCCCCACCGACGTAGCCCCAAACAGTTTCTTTAGAAACTATCAGCCTTTATTCATAGATGAATAAAAGTTTTTTTTTCGGTAAGGTGGCATTTTAGAGCGGATTATTAAGATCGTCGTTTGAACAGTCATTGTACCAGAACTTTTCAATTCCTCCTAACACCGAAATGGTAAGTTGAAGAATAGCTGCCCGTTTGCCGGGTACTTATGAGTATTGAGCGAAAAGTAGTTGTCCGGTCAGCTCAGTCTGGATGCCACGTAGATAAACTTTGCAGAAAAGAAATTTTTCAATTTTTGTCCAAAACGACCGAGTGAAACTGTTCATTCTACTGGCAAAGAGTCAACCTGTATTTTCCTTCATTCGAGTTAAGGACCGAAAAAAGGAAAAACAGGGAGATTAAATAAGACAACACGGAGAACGCGTTCGGAATTCCGGCGTCTATCACTTGAGGGTAAGAAAAGTTGAGAGAAACGAAGAAAATAGTTATGCATTGCCTACAGTATTTTCCCAGGGCGACAGGGATTGATTTTGGCTCCATTGTTTTGAAATTAAATAACCCGACAAAAGCGAAGAAAGAAAGGTAAATGAAAAATAGGAACAAAATTTAACTAAAAATATATCGTAATCTATTCCTATAACCTTTTCTCTTACAAAATATCAATGAAATTACTTCAATTCTATATGTTTATGGACTGGTGGATTTTTTTTTTTAGATGATCGCTGCATCGTAAACGCCCTACCATTGTATTTAATGAAAGATCTAGAGAATGTAGAGAAACGGGCACTGTCAATCATTTTCCCGGGCCTAGCCTATAGAGAGGCCTTAGAGCTTTCAAATATTATGACTATCAATGACTACATCGCTTGTAAAAAGACCTCCCTCTCGATATCTAATTACCCGGCCCATCGCTTACGTAAAATGCTTCAATCGTCAGGGCTGTTGTGTTATAATCTCCGGTGCAAAAGGCATTCTGCGATTCCCAAACGTAGGACCGACGTTTCAAAAATAGTTTTTTAATAAGATCATTTATTACACGACTCGGGCAGTCAGAGGGCCAATAACTAAAATCAACCAATCAAAATGCTCTATTGCCGGTCCAATATTCTCTAAGTATTGGACCGGGCACTGTCCCGAATGGTCCCGAATGATACCGCACTTGTGTCCCTTTGAACTTCAGTCGTATAATAAATCTCTTATTAACCAAGCTTGCTCGGGACCGTACTGGAAGAATATCGGCCCTCGGTCTTTTTTGTACGGACCTCGCTGCGCTCGGTCCGTACTGTCAAGACCTCGGGCCGATATTCTCCCAGTACGGCCCTCGCGCTTGGTTAATAAGATATATTTCTTACTAACTTAGCGTGAGGGCCGTACAGAGGATTAATGGCCCGAAATCGTGGCAGTACAGAACGAGCGCAGCGAGGTCCGTACAGAAACGACCGAGGGCCAATATTCCCCAATACAGCTCGAGCAAGTGATGTTACTAAGTATTTTATTATACGACACTCGGGAAAACACTTTTATTAATGTTTAATTTTCCGGCTTTCACGAACAAAAGTACACGGCTTATGATCCCTTCCTTGGAAACGGTCCCTAGGGCAAAATCCCGACCAAGTAAGAACTACTCAGAACGCTCGGATTTACCACAAGACTGTCCTGCCATATTGTAATATTATAAGTTGTTATAACCTTCAAGCTCGAGGTATTTTCATCAACATTTTCTTTTCTCATTGAGTTTTTTTGTTTGAAAATACAACTCCTTGCAACCTTTTTACCTCGTGATTGCGTTGTTCTGCTCGAAATTCATTGTAGAGAAAGA